CCCCCCATCCCCAACCCCATTCAAACACCCCACCCCCACCCCCATTCCAACACCATCTCCCCACCCCGCGAATGTACCCGTTACCCACCTCCTGACAGCTCTGGAGGAACCGCTGTAGCTCCCACTGGACACCCAGGCGCTCTAACCAATCGTGAGCCAGCTTGTAATTATGTTGGCTCCTGCAAATGTGATGAAGGATGGTCAGTCCTGGTCTGAGAGGAGGCCATGACTCAGCACAGAACGCGGCTCCAGAAAGTACAACCGTCGTTAAAAACACCTCCCAAAAACAGCACAGTTGGAAACTCCTGAGAGATGTTTCACACTCCGCTGTTGACTTGCCCAATATCGTTGACATGAAGTCTGGCTCATGTTAACCCCGGGGTCAGAATCATTTGCTTTTGTCAAATATAGGTAAAAAGCAGCTCCACCAGCCATTCAATGAGCCATTCATGACCCATTTGTACCTTAGCGTACGCTTGATAACCCAGAATATCCTCATATCGAATACAAAAATTAACAGAGAAAATAGAGTAGGCCATTTGGCCCTTCAAACCTGCTTCACCATTCACTATGATCATGGCTGATCATCTAACTTAATACCTTGTTCCCAGTGTTTTCCCATACCCTTTGATCCTTTAGTCCTGGAAAGTATATCTAACTTCACCTTGAAAACATTCAATATTGTGGTCACAAATGCTTTCTGTAGCGGAGAATTCCACAGGGATCACCACTCTCTGGGTGAAGACATTTCTCCTCATCTCAATCCTAAATGGCCAACCCCAGATCCTTAACCTACGACCCCTAGTTTTGGACTCCCCAGTCATCAGAAACATCCTTCCTGTGTTTACCCTATCCTACAGGTTTCTATATGACAACCCCCTTCATTCTTCTAAACTCCAGTGAATATAGTCCTCACCAATCCAGTCTCTTTTCATAAATCAGCCCTCACATCCCAGGAATCAGTTTGGTAAATCTTCATTGTGCTCCCTCCATAGCCAGAATATCCCTCCTCCAATACGGAGACCAAAACTGCACACAGTCTTCCAGGTGTGATCTTACCAAGGCCCTGAACGATTGCAGTAAGACACCCTTGTTCCTGTCTCAAATCCTCTCACTACGAACGCCAACATATTGTTTGCCTTCTTTGCCACCTTCGGCACCTGCCTGCTTAATTGCAGCAAAATTAGAGGTCCTAATTGTAAAAGTTGTAGATTAACCCACAGTTATTTCAGTGAGAGAATTTAATTTGTCTTCATGTGTTTCCTGCCATTTACTCCTGAATAGCTGTATGATAAAGGAGTTAGTTTACCTCTACATCCCCTAGTGACTCTTTTAACCATCTTCATTAAATCGTCCTTTAATCTGTAATAATCAGGGAGTTCTAGACTAATTTGTATAATGTACTCTCCAAATCCCCTCCAAATCCCGATTAGGCCTGATATTATTATAGTGAGTCTTTATCGGTGTTATTAATAAATACGGCGAAATACTGAGGTCCCCAGTCCAGGTCCTGGGCTAAGACCACTTCCTGCCAGTCAGCCTATTTGTCCTTTATAAGTTCATAAGAAAATTAAATTAGGAGCAACAGTAGGCCATCTGGCTCATCAAGCCTGCTCTGCCATTCAATAAGATCATCGATGATCTTTTCGTGAACTCAGCTCCACTTACCCATCTGTTCACCATACCCCTAATTCCTTTACTGTTCAAAACTCTATCCATCTTTGCCTTAAAAACATTCAATGAGAAAGCCTCAACTGCTTCACTGGGCATAGAGTTCCACAGATTCACAACCCTTTGGGTGAAGATGTTCCTTCTCAACTCAGTCCTAAATCTGCTCTCCCTTATTTTGGGGCTATGCTCCAGGGAAAAAAAGCTCCCTATCCAGCCTCTCCTTCTAACTCAAACCCTCCATTCCCAGCAATATCCTTGTAAATCTTTTCTGCACACTCTCCAATTTAACAGTATCCTTCCTACAGAAGGGCAACCAGAACTGTACATCAAGAACTGGATAATACGGGAGAAGGGGTCACCAGTTTCCTCCCACAGTCCAAAGATGTGCAGGTTATGTGGACTGGCCATGCAGAATTGCCCATAGTGTCCAGGGATGTGCAGGCCGGGTGGGTTAGCCATGGGAAATGCAGGGTTACAGGGATAGGATGGGAGGTGGGTCTAGGTCGGATGTTCTTCAGAAGGTCAGTGTTGACTCAATGGGCCAAATGGCCTGATTCCACACTGTAGAGATTCTAAGGGAGCACTGTCCCTATAAATTTTACAGTCAGTTTAGCTTACATTAAATGCCTAGCATTCAGTCGGGATAACGTTAAAACAAAGCTTCCAAAATCTTGTCCTACTGTGACCCACGTTTCAATGCTTAAAAATGTGATCGTCCCATACTGTAAGCCCCGTTGAAAAACTAGTAAAATGTGCAAATAGCACATACTGGTCTGCCTTGTCTTGTCTCCATCAGCAACAGTACAATCAGAAACATTCATTTCTAGGTATTACTTTTTTTACCGGGTTAGGAAGCTGTGTAGGAGAGGAGCAGGAACTGAGCACTGGGGTGAAGCAAATTGTTTCAAGACATTTTAAAGAACCTGCCTTTTAAACTGCCTTCCTTGGAACAGGAGCTGGTTCCAATGACTGGCTAGTTAGGCCAAAGCCACTGTTTAAAAAAAACGTCAACAAGGATTTAAAGGAACCTTGCAGAAGCTAACATTCATTAGGAGCACATTGGTGTCCGGGAGCTGGTCACTCCACCCTCTCGGCTCACAGAGTAGTGAGGTTACACTGCTCTCACGCGAGACATCTGTTACACATCAGCTAGAGTAGTGTGTCCAATTGGTGCCAAGTTACAGAAATGATGTGAACGCATTGGAGAGAGTATAGAAGAATGGTTCTGGAGATATGTAACTCCAGGTATGGAGAACAATTGGAGCCTGTTCTCTTTGCAGACAAGACGACTCAAGAGGAGATCTCGCGCAAATTTTCAAGATCACAGTCAGAGTATTTGGGGAAAGAAAACTGCTTCTCATTGTAAAAGGATAGAGAACCACGGCACGGATTTAAAATCATTTGTAAACGGAGCAGACAGCGATTGGTTAGGGTATGAAAGTTTGATGGAGGCAGGTTCAATTGTGGCATTCAAGAGGGGCACCGAATAGTTATTTTAACAGAAACAATGAGCAGGGCCACAGGGAAAAGGCAGGAGAAAGGGCACTAAATCACAATGCCTATTGGGAGAGCCAGCGCAGACATGATGGGCCAAATGGCCTCCTTCTGCACCGTAATAACTCTGAGAGTCAGTGACTCCAAGCATCACAACCCACGGTTTGGGAGACCCTGCACTAACAGATAGGAATGTAATGATTGCATGAAGAGTTTATTACGGTCAATCTCAACAACTACTGTTTAGAGGGAAGTGGTGGCATAGTGGTAATGTTACTGCACTTATAATCCAGAGGAGGCAATGGCCTAGTGGTATTATCGCTGGACTGTTAATCTGGAGACCCGAGTAATATTCTGGGGACCTGGGTTCGAATCTCGCCACGGCAGATGGTGGAATTTGAATTCAATTAAATATCTGGAATTAAGAATCTAATGATGACCATGAATCCATTGCCGATTGTCGGAAAAACCCATCTGATTCACTAATGTCCCTTTAAGGAAGGAAACTGCCATCCTTACCCGGTCTGCCCTACATGTGACTCCAGACCCACAGCAATGTGGTTGACTCTGAACTGCCCTCTGGGCAATTAGGGATGGGCAATAAATGCTGGCCTAGCCAGCGATGCCCTCAATCTTGTAAACGAATAAAAAAAATCCAATAGGCCCAGCTAATACTCTAGGGACATGAGTTCAAATCCTAACAATTAATAAATCTGGAATTGAAAATTAATTTCAGTGATAGTGACCAAGGTTTCATTGATTGTTATAAAAGCCCTTCTGGCCTACCCAGGTAGGGAGGTAATGCTGCCTCCTTTGTGATTAGGAGAATGCAGGGTGGTGAGTTGTCATACCTGGTGGTGATAGACTTGGTTTGATCGTCAATCTTCTCCTGGTAGATGCTGCCAGCCTTTGCCAGCTGCCCTCCTGCCTCGACTACCGTGTTGATCTTCTGCAGGTTAATTTCCAAAGTCACCAGGAAATCCCGGTGCCTCTTGATCGCCGTTTCCGCTGCCTCCAAAGATACTGGCACCTCAAGTTGGGCCAACACTGACTCCTGGGCACAGGATGGACAATCAGCTCGCGAAGGCAGAGCGAATTCAGAATTCCCTGTGAGTTACCGAGAACATTCCTAGACCAATATGAACGGTGACTCCCAGCAGCTCCTGTTCATGGGGAGATGGTGGCGCGGTGGCAGTAATGCTGCATTGGTAATGTCCAGGCCCAGGTTAATGGCTTGGGGCCGTGGGCTCGAATCTTACCCACAGGATTCAATGAATAAATATGGAATTTAAAGCTATCTTCAAAGTGGTGGTGACAGCTATCATTGATCTAACTAAGTTGTTTCAGAAATAGTAGGAACTGCAGATGCTGGAGAATCTGAGATAATAAGGTGTAGAGCTGGATGAACACAGCAGGCCAAGCAGCATCAGAGGAGCAGGAAAGCTGACGTTTCAGGCCTAGACCCTTCTTCAGAAATGGGGGAGGGGAAGGGGATTCTGAAATAAATAGGGAGAGAGGGAGAGGCGGATAGAAGATGAATAGAGGAGAAGATAGGTGGAGAGGAGACAGACAGGTCAAAGAGGCGGGGATGGAGCCAGTAAAGGTGAGTTTAGGTGGGGAGTTAGGGAGGAAATAGGTCAGTCCAGGGAGGATGGACAGGTCAAGGGGGCGGGATGAGGTTAGTAGGTAGGAGATGGGGATGGGGCTTGAGGTGGGAGGAGGGGATAGGTGGGAGGAAGGACAGGTTAGGGAGGCAGGGACAAGCTGGGCTGGTTTTGGGATGTGGTAGGTAGAGGGGAGATTTTGAAGCTGGTGAAATGATACCATTGGGCTGCAGGGTTCCCAAGTGGAATATGAGGTGCTGTTCCTGCAACCTTCGGGTGGCATCGCTGTGGCACTGTAGGAGGCCCAGGATGGACATGTCGTCTGAGGAATGGGAGGGGGTGTTGAAATGGTTCGCGACTGGGAGGTGCAGTTGGTTAGTGCGAACCGAGCATAGGAGTTCTGCAAAGCAGTCCCCAAGCCAACGCTTGGTTTCCCCGATGTAGAGGAGGCCACAACAGAAACAGCTGATACATTCAGAGATAGTAGGAACTGCAGATGCTGGAGAATTCAAAGATAGTAGGAACTGCAGATGCTGGAGAATTCAGAGATAGTAGGAATAGAGATAGCAGCTATGCCTGCCTCTTTGTAGGTTACGTGGAACAATCCCTCTTCCATAGCTACACTGGCCCTAAACCCCACCTCTTCCTCCGTTACATTGATGACTATCGGCACCGCCTCGTGCTCCCACGAGGAGATCGAACAGTTCATCCACTTCACCAACACCTTTCACCCCAACCTTAAGTTCACCTGGACCACTTCTGATACCTCTCTCTCCTTCCTGGACCTCTCTGTTTCCATCTCTGGCAACCACCTGGAAACCGATATCCATTTCGAGCCCACCGACTCCCACAGCTACCTAGAATACACCTCCTCTCACCCACCTTCCTGCAAAAATGCCATCCCCTATTCCCAATTCCTTCGCCTCCGCCGCATCTGCTCCCAGGATGAGGCATTCCACTCCCGAACATCTCAAATGTCCTCATTTTTCAAGGACTGCAACGTCCCCTCCTCAGTGGTCGAGAACGCCCTCGACCGTGTCTCCCGCATTTCCCGCAACTCATCCCTCACACCCCCTCCCCGCAATAACAACCAAAACAGAATCCCCCTCGTCCTCACATACCACCCCACCAACCTCCGAATCCAACGCATCATCCTCCGACACTTCCGCCATCTGCAATCCGACCCCACCACCAAAGACATTTTTCCCTCCCCACCCTTATCTGCTTTCCAGAGGGACCACTCTCTCCGGGACTCCCTTGTCCGCTCCACACTCCCCTCCAGCCCCACCACACTTGGCACTTTTCCTTGCAACCTCAGGAAGTGCTACACTTGCCCCCACACCTCCCCCCTCACCCCTATCCCAGGCCCCAAGAAGACTTTCCACATCAAGCAGATGTTCACCTGCACATCTGCCAATGTGGTATACTGTATCCGCTGTTCCCATTGTGGCCTCCTCTACATCAGGGAAACCAAGCGGAGGCTTGGGGACCGCTTTGCAGAACACCTACGCTCGGTTCGCACTAAACAAATGCACCTCCCAGTCGCGAACCATTTCAACTCCCTCTCCCATTCCGCAGACGACATGTCCATCCTGGGCCTCCTGCGGTGCCACAACAATGCCACCCGAAGATTGCAGGAACAGCAACTCATATTCCGCTTGGGAACCCTGCAGCCCAATGGTATCAATGAGGACTTCACAAGCTTCAAAATCTCCCCTCCTCCTACTGCATCCCAAAACCAGCCCAGCTCGTCCCCGCCTCCCTAACCTGTCCTTCCTCCCACCTATCCCCTCCTCCCACATCGAGCCCCACCCCCATCTCCTACCTACTAGCCTCATCCCGCCCCCTTGACCTGTCCATCCTCCCTGGACTGACCTATCCCCTCCCTAACTCCCCACCTACACTCACCTTTACTGGCTCCATCCCCGCCTCTTTGACCTGTCTGTCTCCTCTCCACCTATCTTCTCCTCTATCCATCTTCTATCCGCCTCCCCCTCTCTCCCTATTTATTTCAGAACCCCCTTCCCCTCCCCCATTTCTGCAGAAGGGTCTAGGCCCGAAACATCAGCTTTCCTGCTCCTCTGATGCTGCTTGGCCTGCTGTGTTCATCCAGCTCTACACCTTGCTATCATTGATCTAACTAATGTACTTTTACAGAGGGAAACTTGCCATCCTCACCTGGTCTGGCCTACATGTGACTCCAGACTGTTAACTGCCCTCTGGGATGGATAATGGAGTGTTAGTCTTTTTTGGACAAACACATCCCACAAACGAACAAGCAAAAAGCTCTTCAGAGATAGTAGGAACTGCAGATGCTGGAGAATCTGAGATAACAAGGTGTAGAGCTGGATGAACACAGCAGGCCAAGCAGCATCAGAGGAGGAGGAAGGCTGACGTTTCAGGCCAAGACCCTTCTTCAGAAATCCTGCATTCAAGACCCTTCTTCAGAAATCCTGAATTCTGAAGAAGGGTCTAGGCCAGAAACGTCAGCCTTCCTGCTCCTCTGATGCTGCTTGGCCTGCTGTGTTCATCCAGCTCTACACCTTGTTATTTAAGCAAAAAGCTCTGCCTTGTTTATCCCAGTGCTACTCAGGGATGTACCAATGAGGACCATCACCACACAGGAGAGTGCCTCTGGTTTCACACTGGGGCCACCGACAGACCAAAAGTCATCAAAGAGCCCTGAGTCAGCATGGGGACTGCAATGTGGAGCTCACTGTCTACTGACTGGCAGGAGAACCTGGCCAGTGTGTGGAAGGTGGGGAGGTTAGAGGGCAGGTTACAAGTCAAGCTGGAGGAGGAGTCAGAGGGCAGGTCAGAGGTCAGGGTGGAGGAGGAGTCGGAGGGCAGGTCTCAGGTCAAGATGGACAGGAGGTCAGAGGGAGGGTCGGAGAGGTAGTTGGGGGAGGTCAGGGATAGTGGAAAGGACATTGGAGGGCAGACAGATAGGTCGTGGAGGGGAGGTCAGACAGCAGGCAGAGGGCTAGTGGAGGGGTGGTTGGACGGCAGGGTCATAGAAGAGTGGTCAGAAGTTGGTCAAAGGGGTAGCGGAGGGGCGGTCAGAGGGCAGTCAGAGGGCTGGTGGAGGGGAGGTTGCAGTGAGGGGTAGTGGAGGGGAGGTTGGAGGTTGGTCAAAGGGGTAGTTGAGGGAAGGTTGGAGGGCGGGGTGTTGAGGGGAGGTCGGGGGGTTGAGAGGATTAGTGGAAGAGAGTTTGGAGGGTTAGTGGAGGAGGGGGCTCAGAGGGTTGGTGGAGGGCAGCTCGCTCACCTGGCTGTTGAGGAAGCCTTCAGCCTGCCTGACGTCCCGGAGGAAGAGCTGGTAAATGTGAGCCTGCAGCAGCAGTTGATGCCGACATTGCCAGGCTTGGTGCAGCTTGGCCCAGCCATGCTGCAGTTTGTGTAGCCATTGCTGGATGGAGAGCAGCGGCAGCTCAGCTTCACCCAGCGACAGCAGCTCGTTCACGGCCAGGATCTTGCGGTAGTCCTCTTCATGTTGGCCGATCTCCTCCCTCAGCGCCTCGTGGTTCCGGAGCAGAGCCTCTGCCTCGGCCAGTGTGTTGGGCAGCTCCTCGGAAACAGTGGCCCCCTGGGTACGAGCCAGCCACGATAGGAAGCTGTCCAGGTCCTGAATGAACTGCTGCAGCCTCCCAGCAACACTCAGTGAGTCCTCACAGCCTTGTAGGGCCCGTTTTAGCTGCTCCCACTCCTCACTGATCTCCTCAAATCGGATAAGGATGTCCATCGCCTGCCCTGGGTGTGCAGCAGCTAAACTCTCCGCCTCCAGCTGCAGGCCAATCAGCTTGGGCTCGATCACACTCAGGGCCCCCTCCATGGCCGACAGCTTCCTTTGCAGTGCAATCACCCCACCGAGGTCATTGCCCAGGTACTGCGTCGACTCGATGGCCCTCCGCTTCTCACTGATCTGTGACTTGATCTCATTGCACTCCAGCGAGTAATTCTGAAGGCGAAGCAGGGATTCGATGCTCTCCTTTTTGCTTTCAACCAACTGCACGATCTGTGCCCACCTGCAAAATGGAGCACAGTGAACACCAGGTCAACATTCCTGCCTCTCGGAGCCAGCTCCCTGCAGAATCCGAACATCCAAACACTTTGTTGGTTTCTCACACACACTCACACACACACACACACACACTCACACACTTTCAGACAGAGACACACACATACATACACACACACACACACACACACACTCACACTCACACACTTTCAGACACACACACACACTTTCAGACAGACAGACCGAAACACACACACACACTTTCAGACAGACACACACACACACTTTGACAGACACACACACACACACACTTTCTGACAGGCACACACACTCACACTTTCAGACACACACACACACTTTCTGACAGACACACACACACACGCACACACACAGACCCGCACACACACAGACCCACACACACACAGACCCACACACACACAGACCCACACACACACAGATAGACCCACACACACACACACACACACACAGATTGAACCCCACCCCACACATACACACACACACACACACACTCTTTCAAACAGACACACACACACACACTCACTTTCAGACAGACAGACACACACACACACACATACACACTCACTTTCAGACAGACACACACTCACTTTCAGACAGACACACACACACACTTTCAGACAGACACTCACACACATACACTCACACACATACACACACTCACTTTCAGATAGACACACACACACACTCACACACATACACACACTCACTTTCAGATAGACACACACTCACTTTCAGATAGACACACACACACACACACTTTCAGACAGACACACACACACACTCACTTTCAGACAGACACACAGACTCACTTTCAGATAGACACACACACACACTTACACTTTCAGACACACTCACACACTCATACAGACCCACACGCACACACATTCACACAGATTGACCCCTCCCCTAGACACACACACACACAAAGACACACTCACACACAAACGCACTTTCAAACAGACACACACACACTCACTTTCAGACAGACACACTCACACACTCACTTTCAGACAGACACACACACACTCACTTTCAGACAGACACACTCTCACACACACACACACTCACTTTCAGACACACTCACACAGACCCACACACACACACTCAGATACCCACACACACACACACAACAGACACCCAGATAGACAGACAGACACACACACACACACACACACACACACACATATACAGAGTCTGATAGTGGGTAAAGGGCAGTACCTGCTGTTTAGGTGATCCTGACAGCCCATGACCTCTGTGGCACTGGGATGACCATTTTCCACCAGCTGCTGCACAATTTCATTCACCTCCACCACCCGGACCAACATGCTGTTCATCTCCTGCTCCAGACTCTCAAACCTACAGACAGAGAACCAGGGGAGACACGTTCAGACCACAACCTCAGCCAGGACAATACCACACTCTAGCCGTGGTGACTCCTCTGCATAATTCCCAACACAAACCTGGAAAACTTCTCTTCTGGACATATCCGTGCATCTGTGTCCCAGTAAAACCTTGGCAGTCAGGACCAATATTCTCTCCGTAAACCAGTAATACACTGCACTGTCAGCACCAGTATTCTGTCTGTGCAAAATAATACCCTGGACAGTCAGCACCAGTACTCTGTCTGTGTCCCAGTATTACCCAGGATAGTCAGCAACAGTACTCTCTCCCCCAGTATTACAATGAACAGTCAGCACCAGTACTCTGTCTGTGTCCCAGTATTACCCTGGACACTCAGCATCAGTACTCTGTCTGTGTCCCAGTATTACCCTGGACACTCAGCACCAGTACTCTGTCTGTGTCCCAGTATTACCCTGGACAGCACCAGTACTCTGTCTGTGTCCCAGTATTACCCTGGATAGTCAGCACCAGTACTCTGTCTGTGTCCCAGTATTACCCTGGACACTCAGCACCAGTACTCTGTCTGTGTCCCAGTAGTACCCGGAATAGTCAGCACCAGTACTCTGTCTGTGTCCCAGTATTACCCTGGACACTCAGCACCAGTACTCTGCCTGTGTCCCAGTATTACCCTGGACACTCAGCACCACTATTCTCTCCCCCAGTATTACAATGAACAGTCAGCACCAATACTCTCTCCCCCAGTATTACCCTGGGCAGTCAGCACCAGTATTCTCTCCCCCAGTATTATCCTGGGCAGTCAGCACCAGTACTGTCTCCCGCAGTATTACACCTGCACAGTGTCATGGGAGGGTGAGACTTTGATTTAAAAATTGGAGGGAAACCTGTAGTAAATGTGTGATGGGGCGGACTTGGTCTCCCTTGGATGGACCTCCCTCTGTGTGCATCTCACACTAGGGGTGGTGCTCTCTCACTCTGCCTATCTCTCCACCCCCCTCACCCTGCCCATGATGGTGGTGCTCTATCAGTGTTCGAGCCTGTACCTCTGCTGGACCAGTTCAAGGTCCTCCAGTGTCTCGGGGACCTCCATGTTGTTGAACCATTGCTCCTTTTCATCGATCCAGAGCTCGCAGGCGTTGACCTCGGTGAACATGTGGTAAACCGCCAGTGCATCCTGCAGCCATTGCCTGCGTAGGCCCGCCACCTCCTTCACCTCAGAGTACAGGGTCTCGAGCTCCAACACGCGGCTCTGCACCTCGCCCGGCTCTAGGTATTCGGGGGCCAGGCTGCTGGCCTGAGTGCGCAGGGCGTGGACCAACCGGCGATGCTGTTCAAGGTCCTCGGACAGGCCGCGGTGCTTCTTGGCCAGCGATTGGGTGGAGTACTCGTCGTGCCCGAAGTCGTCGCTGGAGGCCAGGCGGTAGGCATCCTGCAGCCACTGCTCCAGGTCATCGGCGTCGGCCTTGAACTGGAAGAAGCTGAGCGCCTCCTGGATCCGCTGCTGCCTCAGCGTCACCAACTCGTCCAGAGTTTTCCACTGCAGCCGCACCTCCAGGATCCGTTCCTGGATTTTTCCCGTGCCGAAATGTTTCTGTGCCAGGATCTGCTCACCCTTGGTGATGGTCTGAGTGAGGAGGCTGCAGCGAGCCACCAGTTCCCCCATCAGTACCTCATGCTGGCTCAGCAGCCGTGTAGCACTGTCCACGTCCTTGCCGCAGTTGGTCGAGGAGATGACCTGCTCTTTCTCGTGGATCCAGCCCTCCGCCTCCTCCATCTCCTGGAAGAATGTCCAGAGGCAGCGCGATCCCTCCAGCTCCGCCCTCCGACACGATGCCTGCCGCTGCAGCTCCTCCAGGCAGTTGCTGACGTGTTGCACCCGGTTACAGATGATGTGCGGGTCGCACGGCTGGTACCCTGGGGGCAAAGCAAAAGGTACTGGCTCAGAATGGGGTCACGGCCTGGCACACCAACACAGCCCTGGGTGACATCGTTGATCACAAGGGAAGACTGGCTCAGAGTTGTCTTACAGTCACAGAGTCATACAGCACAGAAACAGACCCTTCGGTCCAACCAATCCATGCCGATCATAAGCCTAAACTAAACTAGTCCCACCTGCCTGCTCCTGGCCCATATCCCTCCAAACGTTTCCTATTCTTGTACTTATCCAAATGTCTGTTAAACATTGTAATTGTACCCACATCCACCACTTCCTCAGGAAGTTCATTCCACACACCAACTACCCTCTGTGTAAAAAAATTGCCTCTCACGCCTTTTTTAAATCTCTCTCCTTTCACCTTAAAAATATGCCCCCTGGTTCTGAAATCCCCACCCTGGGGAAAAACACCTTATCTATACCTCTCATTATTTTATAAACCTCAATAAGGTCACCCCTCAGCCTCCTACGCTCCAGTGTAAGAGCCAGCCTATCCAGCCTCTCTTTATAATTCAAACTCTCAATCCCCAGCAACATCCTGGTAAATCTCTTCTGAACCCTCTCCAACTTAATAACATTCTTCCTATAGCATGGTGACCAGAACTGGACACAGTACTCCAGAAGAGACCTCACCAATGTCCTGTACAACCTGGATGAGCACATAAAATGCCAGGGCCTAGACAGTTGTGGACCAAGTGCAGGAAATGGAATCAGTCTAATTTGGTGTTTGTTTGGCAGCATAGACATGGTGGGCCAAAGGGCCTGTTTCTACCCTGTAGAAACCTCTGGCGGGAAGGTTTTGGAGAACCTACAACCACCTCCCACCCCACCATCCCACCATGTCCCGAACTCCTTTCCCCCCAGCGTGAGTCCTGAAACCCTCATGGTTCCTACCCACTGGAGTTCACTTCCGGGAGACTAGGTCTCACTTCCTGCTTCCTGCCCTTGTCCAGTTCCCACTTTACACTTGGCTGCAAATCAGTCATGAGTACAGCACAGGAAGAGGCCATTAGACAGATTCACCCTAAACTAGTCGCAGCTCCAGCTAGCAACTTGCCACATATTGATAAAACAGCCCCTCCTGCAGATCATTCAGTAATACTGTGCCCTCTGTACCATTTAAACTGACAGTATCCCAGTTAATATGAGGATAACAGAAATCCCAACTTGTTTTTGTTTGTAATTTCTATTAGTAATTTAAATGCAATAGTACAGGGCAACATAAAAACAGCTTGCAGATGATATAAAAACACATTTAAGGTTTTTGCTAAGATTTGTAGCTCGGGTTATGGGTGAGGTTGTGGACTTGCTCGCCGAGCTGGCTTGTTTTCGTTCAGACGTTTCGTCACCGTGCTAGGTAACATCATCAGCGAGGCCTCCGATGAAGCGATGTTATTC